AATCTTTTTTAGAAGAGCAAAAAACTCATAGATGGAGAACATGTCAGCTAATTGCAGGGGAGGGGAAGTTAGGGGGTGGAGGGATTGAGCCAAAAGGAGAAAGGACTCATGGACAACAGTGAGGTGATTGCCGGGGGGTGGGTGGTACAGGTGACGAAATGGTAATGGAGAAATGTAATTAATAGAGGCCATATAAAACATGATAAAATTTTTTAAAAATAAAAATAAAAGAGCAAATTCTGCAGAATCAATGATAATAAAAGGATTATTGGGCCCTGGCAGAACTTCTGTCAACAATATCCTTCCATTTACCCTTACGTTACTCCAATGGTTCAGAATCAGGGGCATCTTGTCCCCCAGGGGGCACGGGATGTCATGTTGGGAAACATTGGTGGTTGCCACAACTTGGGGGTTGCTACTCCCATCTCATGGGTAGAGGCCAGGGAAGCCGCTGAAATCCCACAATGCACAGGACAGCCACACACAACAGGAATTACCCAGGTTAAAATGTCAGTAATGCCAAGACTGAGAAAGCATAGCAAAGCTCTTACTCTCTCACAGCGGGGCTGCTTTATTATAATCCAAAATCTTCCTCAGTAAATTCTTTGAAGTTCAAAGCACCCCTTCCTACTGAAGTTCTTGATTTACCCCCCACTGGAGTTCAGTGAGTATGTGGCCAAAAAAGAGAAAAGTAACTAAAGATGGAGAATACTTTGATTTCCTCTTTAAACAATGTTTCCCTATTTCATTGCTATTGTATCAAAAAAAAATGAGAGGAATAAGATTTTTTTTTTCCTCCAACAGTGGAGCCTGGTAGGTCAACAGAGATTCATAATGGCCAGTTAACATGGAAAAAAAAATTACCCTCTATTTTCAAAAACCAACTGAAAGCTGGAAAATAAAGGTGGAGACAGCGCTTCCTACAGCTGTGCTGAAATGCCATGGAAAGGACTCTCTCTGGAGCCCTAACAGGGACAGAAGACCGATGTCCAGTGTCCTCCCCACGTCCTGCAGGCAAACATGCAGGATGGCAGGATGGCTGGACCCGACCTGACGATGGAGCCTGAGGCTTCTTAAAAGTATTTTCAGTTTGAGAGAGAGAGAATTTTCAGGCATTAGCTAAGCACACAGGAACACTGAACTGAATGAGAGTATTTTTTAGAAGATTTTATTTATTTATCTTTAGAGGGGAAGGGAAGGAAAAAAGGAGAGAAATATCAATGTATGGTTGCCTCTCATGAGTCCCCCACCAGGAACTGGCCTGCAACCCAGGCATGTGCCCTGACTGGGAATCAAACCACGATACTAGGGTTCGCAGGCCTGCGCTCAATCCACTGAGCTGCACCAGCCAGGGAGAGTATTTTTTTTTAATCTCAGAGAAAAGCAGTGTTCTTTAAATCCACTGTTTCTCTGTTGCCACTGGGACCAAGCGGGGCTGATTCAAAGAGAGAGGAACCACCTTCACATGCCCTCAGAACCAAAGTGCAAGGCCAGTAAAGGGCTAGGGAAACCCAGGCCAAAATAAAAATACTCGACAGCAGGTGGCACAGTGCCCACAACGGCAGGGGAAGCACCAAACCCGATACAAAAACACTGCGCTTCCTTTGCCTGTTTGGACATGATTAAATGCACTCACTCAACACGTCTGAAAACAGTATTATTTCACATAAGCTCTACTCCGTGAGTTGGTATGTTCATAAACGTCCACCAAGATAACTGTTCCGAGGTTAGATTTCATTATATTGGCATTAAGTGCCTTTTCCTTTCTTCCTGGAAAAAAAAAAAATCACTTCAGAGATTCATTGAAGAACATTCTTCAGATGTAAACGAACGTGGATTCCTGTAGCCAGCTGCACAAAAGTTATACCATTATCATTTTTTCCTTTTAATAGATGCAGAATGATGTGAAATCAAATTGCACCTTCAAATGTGGAAGTAAGAGGCAAATGTCTTCTTTGGCTCCAGAAGGGCATTTCAAGCAATATCCATGCAGGAGACCTTGGTCCTCACACCAAGGTAGTGAGTTTCATAGAGAATTACCTGTTTTTGTGTGAGTACATGCCACACTTCTAATAATAAAAATAAAATGTCATATATCTCCTACTTCTTTGGCAATAACACATCTATAGCCTAATGTAATAACCTCCTAGAGATAAAGCATATTTAGGTATTTTTCTATTTACCTAAGTCATAGGCAACCTAAACTCTGATGATAGATTTTTGAGAAATTAAAAAAAAAATCCCTATCCTACTGAAGACAGTGGCTTGCTTCTTTTAGCCTTGGGGCTCAAGGCTAAGCCAGGTTTTTTTAAAGTAGTGTTTTGCTGGGACGTGTGGGTGTTTTCTCTGTTGCCAGCCCAGCACTTCTGATGGATACTGAGCAGGAACCCAAAGGTTTAAGGCCTGGGGAGCATCATTTTCTGTCCACTTTGCAGCCCATCAAAGAAGATGTTAGTCCTCTGGTGAGGTCCCTCCCATTTTCTCACAGGCTATTATGAGACTGTTCTGATTAAAATATTGCTGTCTGTACTATTTTTTAAATACACAGAAGATGCTTCTCCAATATCAGCATAGGTCAGATATGGTTAAAAAGTCAAACCAGATTTGAATTTGGTAAGATGGGTCAGAGAAATAAAAGTGTAAGCTCCTCCAAACACAATAAAGTCAGCGATAAAATTTCTTCTCATTTCTCCCCTTTACATATAGTTTTCCACCAAGTTACTAGTTGGCAACTGTAATAAATACTTTGAAATGGGTCTAATTAAAGAAAAATCAGGACTTCCGGCCAAGATGGAGGTGTAGGTGGAAACATTGTGCCTCCTCGCACAACCAAGTTTAAAGACAATAAAGTTTTAGTAACAAAAAAAGCAGGCAAAAAACAGAAAATTGAACTGTACGGAAGTCCAACAACAACAAACTGTTCATCCAGACCAGTAAGAGGGGCGGGGTCAGTGGCTGGCAGAAGGGGTAGGACAGGAAACATCAACCGGACAGACCCAGGAGCCCAGGAGTTCAGGAGTGCATGCAGTGGTTGGCGGATCCCAGGCATGGGGTGGCAACGGGCGGACCCAATGAGGGCAAAAGGCGGCTGGCTGACTGAGGTCACACATTCACAAGCATAGATAAACCAGGCGAAGGAGCGAGCAGTGAGACAGACGGCTCAAGCCAGGGCCCCAGCCACAGGAATTAGAGACTGAAAGCACCAATTGGAAAGGCTTTCGGAGTCGAGGTGCCAGGAGAAGCTCCCAGGCTCACAGAGAGTTCGTTGGAGAGACCCACAGGGTCCTGGAGGGTGCACAGGCCCACGCACATGGGAACCAGCATCAGAAGGGCCCAATTTGCTTGCAGGAAGCAGCAGAGGTGACAGAAATCTGAGAGAGTGGAACAAACACCATTGCCCCTCTCTGACCCCGCCCCCACATATGGTGTCACAACCCAGCAACCTGGGTGGCCCCGCCCTGGAGAACACCTAAGGCTCCACCCCTCATACATAACAGGTGCAAACAGACCAAAACATTATGGCTCAAGAACGACTCAAAGCCCCAGAGCCAATAAATCTAAGCAATGAAGAAATAGCTAACCTTTCAGATGCACAGTTCAAAACACTGGTGATCAGGATGCTCACAGAACTGGTTGATTTTAGTCACAAATTAGAGGAACAAATGAAGGCTAAACTAATTGAAATGAAGAGAAATACACAGGAAACCAATAGTGATGGAAAGAAAACTAGGACTCAAATCAAGGGAGTGGACCAGAAAGAGGGAAAAAATGACCAAACACAAAAATATGAAGAAACAACAATTTAAAAAAATGAGGAGAGTCTTAGGAACCTCCAGGACATCTTTAAACGTTCCAACATCCAAATTATAGGGGTACCAGAAGGGGAAGAGGAACAGCCACAAGTGGAAAACTTATTTGAACAAATAATAAAGGAGAATTTCCCCAATCTGGCAAAGGAAATAGACTTCCAGGAAATCCAGGAAGCTCAGAGAGTCTCAAAGAAGTTGGACCCAAGAAGGAACACACCAAAGCACACCATAATTACATTAGCCAAGATTAAAATGAAGGAGAGAATCCTAGAAGCATCAAGAGAGAAGGGGACAGTCACCTACAAAGGACTTTCCATCAGACTGCCAGCTGAATTCTCAAAAGAGACCTTACAGGCAAGAAGGGGCTAGAAAGAAGTATTCCAAGTCATGAAATCCAAAGACCTACATCCAAGATTGCTCTATCCAGCCAAGCTTTCATTTAGAATGGAAGGGCAGATAAAGTGCTTCTCAGATAAGGTCAAGTTCAAGGAGTTCATCATCACCAAGCCCTTATTACATGAAATGTTAAAGGGACTTATCTAAGAAAAAGAAGATAAAAAAGATGAACAGTGAAAGGACAGCAAACTCACAGTTATTAACAACCACACCTAAAACAAAAGCAAACTAAGAGGACAGCTAGATCAGGAGTGAACCATAGAAATGAAGATCACATGGAGGGTTAGCAACAGGGGAGTGGGAGGAGGAGAAGGGGGGAGAAGGTACAGAGAATAAGTAGCATAGATGGTAGGTAGAAAATAGACAGACAGTAGGGCAAGAATAGTATGGGAAATATAGAATCTAAGGAACTTGTGACACATGGACATAAAAGAAAGGGGGATGGTGGGGGAGGGGTATTCAGGGCGGAGGGGAATGAAGGGGGGAATAGGACAACTCTAATGGCATAATCAATAAAATATATTTTTAAAAAATCAGTCTCGCTTAATTTGGGGGCGGGAATGAGTATTCGATGTCATATATTTGTCTATCCCAGAAATGCTCACTTTCTCTTGGTAAACGCTACACAGATTAATGTGATCATCTAAAAAAGAGACTCAAAGGAAATATGGACAAATGAGAAAGTTGGTACTAAGCAATCAATGAAAACAGAGTCGCAATGGACTGACTCTAAAAGACAGTGTATAAATCCTCAGGTCACACTTAAGAAAATAGAAATATTCTTATGCGGCCAAGTGAAAAAAGAAAAATATTTTATATATTTAAACATTTGAAATGTTTAGTTCACAGCAGAAAGTAAACATTCATTTTTTTTCCACTCCACAAAATGAAATGTCAAAAAGCATTTTCTTCCAGGCCTCTCCAACCACCAATAAACTCTATTTCCTCTGCTCTTCTGAGATTATGTTCGATCTGAATGGGTATCCATTTTACATTTATTTAAAAATAAGTTGAAGGGTAAATGGCTGCAGTGATGAGACTGTTTTTTCCTCTTTTATAATCTTCCAGTGGAATGGGGGAAAAACAGCCATTGAGGTTCCTAAGTTTCTGCCATGTACTTGGCAATGAGCTCGCCTATGAGTCAGCTGGAAGTTCTAACCAGTGTAAAACAAACACTTCTTGGAGTCCTGTGCCCACAGTCACTGAGTCCCAGCCTTCAATGTCCCTGGTACATACATATACAACTGCAGTTTGCTTCAGAAAATAAATGAGCAAACTCGAACTGTTGGTGAGTAGCATGGGACACCCAGGATCCTGCACAGGGTCACCGTATCAATCATGCAAAAATTAACAGACAGTCAATGAGCTTGCCAAAGAGCCAACCCCTCTCTGACCCCAGACAGGACACATCATAGGTTTGGTCAGCGCCTGTGATACACCCAGCTCTTTCCACAAGCCACACCGGTGGGTTGAAAGCGCCTCATCCATCCAGTCTCCATACGCCGTGGGTCCCAGGTTAAAAATGCGTGTTGTTGACATAACCCTGGTCCTCCCGGGTTTTGGTGAAAGCCTGCTGTCCGTGATCACTCACACAGCCCTCCGAAGTCACTTCGATAACTGTGTCCATAACTTCTCCTCTACCGAGGCCTTCACTCCGGGACATGTCTAGCGGGGGACAGCCGTTGTGCTCGGCAAAGCCATTGACGTGGGCCAGCGGCAGTGCCAGGGGCGGGCAGCACAGATGCTTGGCGCAGGCCTTGGAGACGCAGGGCGAGCTGCAGAGCGACAGCACGTCCTTCTGCTCTGGGGGCTCCTGCGAGTCCAGGCTCTCAAACTGGATGGTCACGTTGTGGATGCCCTCGTGGTGGAAGATTTCTCGGATTTTTATGCTGATGTCCTGATATCCCTTGTCTTTCTGACACTTGACGTGCAGGGTGGCAATGATCTTCCCACCGACAAGCTCCCAGATGTGGAGTTCGTGAATGCTGTGAATGTCCGGCATGGCGGAGAGTTTACTCACTGGAACAGGGAAGAGAAGACGACAGCTGGGTGAGAGCTAGAAATGAATCCCGGCACCACTTTGGGGAGATGCGGTCCCTTTGAAGCTTCCCACCAAAGCAATGGACGTACTAAGAATAACAGAAAGAAAAACAGCCTCACCTGTATGAGTCCATTTCTTCATCACCTTCCTTCTCCTTTCTGAATTCCTCTACCAAACATCGTTAGCCCATAACAGGCAATGGGAGAAAATACATTTAACAACAAGAGCAACAAATGCCCAGGGTTGCCAGGTTCACAAAGGAATGGACACGCTGGTGGACAGCCAGTGAGAACAGAAAGCAAGGAAGCTTTACTAAAGGGAATAATTGGGTCACACAGACCTAAGACCTTCGCCAGCAATTCTAACACCAGAAATTTAACCCACAGGAAATCGCCAAATACTCATTTACGAGAATGGTGTGGGCAATGCTCTTTGTATAAATTGAAAAATGGGAACGATGAGGAAATAGTTAAATCAATTCTATAATAGAATATGATACAGTTGTGAAAAATTAAGTTGCATATGAGAAACAAGCAAATAGTGAAACTATACATATGGCATGATCTTTTTTTTAAAATAAAACATCAGTGTATATACACCAAAAAATAGTTTTAAGCAGATCCAGGCCTGTTTTATTGAATGATTGATACAAAACTACTGAGAGAGGTCACTTCTGGGCAGTAGGGTTAGGAGGGAGCTCCCTTCTCTTGTTTAGGCTCCCCCATTTTCCCCACACTGCCTTGAGTTCAAAGGCAGAGAGATGGGCATGAACAGTGATTATGGGCACAGGCCCGGCAGCCAGCCAGAGTCTGAATCGCAGCTTAGTCATGACCTTCAGTCACTACCTGCATGACCTTGGTCCACTTACCCAGCCCTACCCTCTGCGCCTGAGGTTCCTTACCCATCAATCAGGAATGATATAGATAGCATTTCACAGGGTTAAAATGAGTTAATTTAAGGAAAGCATTTAGAATACTTAACAAGTGCCATAAAAGGGTTGCTGTTGGGATCACTATCCATGTTTTAAATACTTCTTTTTACCCCCACTCTGCCTGCACCACTGAGCTCAGAGTGGACACAGGGAATGAAGGCTGATCATCTCAGCTCTGTGCCTGGAGGCGGCCAGAGAGCTGACCGCACCAACCACCTCTCAGAGAGAAGAGACCGCCACTGACAGTGACCAACAGGGAGAAGAACATCTGGGGAGAAGATCATAGGAGGAGCCAAAGTTGACAGAAAGGCCGGACCAGCTGGTCCTGAGGCTGCTGCTGATGGAGGGCCGCTGGGCTCTGGCCTTCACAGAACAGTCACAGCCTTCACAGGGGACCGTCTAGTCATGGCCACACAGTGAAGCAAGACCCATATCTATCTAATTTCAGGTATTTTTCCTGAAATACGTCCTTCCAACTCCCAGCCTCATAGCTTCATAGTGGACAGGGCTCTATTTCACGCCCACTGGCTTCATGGTAAATGGAACAATTGCACACCTGCCTGAAAAGTTTTTTCTGCAGAAACATAATCTCCACTTAGAAACACTAGACAGAAAGTTGCACACCCAGTTTCTCAGCAGCATCTGGACAGCGCCCATTCAGAAATGCCACAAAGTCTCCGAAACTTTTACCCTCCGATGCACATAACTCAACTGAGAGTCCGACCTTCTGTCAGAGGAGAGCATAAAGCTGTCAAATAAACACAAAAAACCCCACCAGACCTCACTATAGAATGAGGTCGTGAATGACCCGAACGTAAGCACTGTCCTTTTTACAGTGCCGTTAAGAGACACAGTGAGTCAGGCGCCCCTAAAAATCAATGAACTAGAAAGCGAGATCTAGAATTCAAGAGACGGTGGTTTCAGAAGGAGGAGAGTGGCCTTTCTGGAGAGAGAATGAATCCCTGCCGTGAAGGTAAGTAGCCAGGCCTGAGTGCTAGGTTCTCCAAAAACGTGCGGTGGACTCACAGACTCATGTGGTGAGAAGAACCTTTGGCTCTTGGAGCCATGGGTCATCTTACTTAGCTCCAAGACAACTGACGTGGTGTCCACTTCCTGTGGGGGAAGTGACTAGTTCGGGGTGCCTGAAGTAAACCCCACTCTGCAGTAACGCTGGTCCGTTGGCCTAAAGGACAGGAAGCGGGCAGGAGTCCCGGACCAGACTCGTCCGACTTACTCAGCTCTTCCATGTTGACCCCTTTGGGGACCATCTGCAGCAGAATGACAGCGGTCTCCTTGATGAGTGGGAAGGCAGATGACATGATGATGGCGACCATGACGATGGTCAGGCTGGGGTCGATGTAGCACTGCCAGTTACACGGGTCCTCCTCTTTCAAGGGCAGCAGGTAGAATATGATGGCCGTGATGACCACCACCACCGACCCCAGCGCGTCTCCCATCACGTGCAGCAGCACACCTGCCGGGGAGAGAGCGAGACGGACAACTAGGGCACAAGTCCAAGGTCGGGGACTCGGGGTCCCAAGTCTGCGAAGGCCTGTTGCTATTTGTCTTCTTTTGGGGTTGGAACAGCAAGATGGATTCCACTTTCTTTCAAAAAATGGCAACTGCTCTGCAGAAAACCAAACCCCAGGCCTCTGAGAACTTGGAGGGGGGACCGGCCTGGGACAATTCTGAGCTATGGTCCCCTGAGGGAAGAGGGTCTGGGCCAGGTCACCGTGACTCATTGCTGCCACCCCACACCCTGCAGAGGGCACCAACCTGGAGAACAGAGGCTGCGCAAATGATTTTCCTTTCAGCCTGCACTTTGGATTGGGTTAAACATGTTTAAGAGGAGAGGGAACAGGATATGTCTTTTATGTTCTTTGTCTTTCCTCCTTCCCTCTACCTGGGTCCCTTTGCCCCTCCCCTAGGGGCCTTTGCCACCTTCTCACTTAGCTCGTGGTTATTTAAACTGCATTTTAAAAAAGAGTATTGATTTGTTGTTCCATTTATTTATGCATTTGTTAGTTGGATCTTATATGTCCCGACTGGGGATTGAACCTGCAACCTTGGCACATTAGGATTAGGCTCTAACCCACTGAGCTACCTAACCAGGGCCTAAACCATGTCTGCTTTAAGAAGTCCTCAAGAACAGGGAGCCTAGCAATGTTCCCACTGCATAAAGAGCCAATAAAAGGAAATTAAAATTCTACAGATAATAAAAATTGCAGATGCCTTTAATGAAGGAGGCAGTTTCTAGAGCCTTCCCTTCAGCTCCTTTGTGATACTGGAAACATGCAATCCCGGCAAAGAAGGACTGGACGTCCAACTGTTTGCTAGACACAGTAACTGCGATGTGAGAGATGAAGTGACAATCTTATGAGAAGGATGATACAAAATCAACACAAAGAATCATGTTTTTCTAGAAAGCAACATCTTAAGGACTCTCTGAGGTGGTTATACTTTCTATTTTACAAATGAGGAAACTGAGGCACAGAGTGGCTAAGTTACTTATCCAAAATCACACAGCTAGTCCTCAAGTCTAATTTCAGACGTTTCCTTCTGAGAAATCTCGCAATCAGCCCCTAAAGACTAGGGTTGTGAAATACCTTCCAGATTTATTTTTTCCACCATCCGCAGTAAGAGCCACATTTTACATCCCAGCTCACACAGAGAGAAACAAATGGACCTCTGCTGGATGCAGTAAAGGTCTCTGAGCAGGCTCCAAGAGACAAAGACCTCAACTTGGGAGACAACTCCATCGCCTGATTAGTCAAAGGCTCACAAGTTAGCTTTGCAAAGACAGGACACCCTTAATGCTGGATCTTCACTTGCTGTCTCTAGATAAAAACAGAACGCAAGAAACAAAACACTGGCATATGTCATGAATCGGCAATTGGACGTCAGCTGAAATGTGATGCATGACCCAGCAGTTGGAAAAGCCACCTGCGGTGTTGAATTGGATGTAGCCCTGGAAATGCAGTTCATTAGCTCTGGGCATTGGCAAGTGGGTTATGGAAGAAAGGAGAGATCTTTCCCATTGGGGAGATAAATGAGAATTAGAATGAAACGCCTCACCAAAAAAGATTCACTTCCAAATGGTGTCCGGGTGCCCTTCATTTGTTTATAGTTACACTGACATGCAAAGGGCTCGCTGTCTTTCTGACATTCTTTTGTAACATATTTTAAGGTATCGTGTTTGATCCCATTAAATAAAATCGACCACAGCCAAGCACGCTGACAATAATTTTTTTAAGAAGTGAGCTCTCACAGCTTTGCAATTGAAGATGGAGTGCGTTTCTTAGAAGGCATTTTTGACATTTCATTGGAATGTGAGAAACAGCAATGCAAACCAAGAAATGATTTTTGTTCACGGCAATCCCCATCAGACGTTTGCTCCCCTGCAGGACAGCAGCCCTGCCTCTGGGACGCCGGGAGAACAGCGAGTGGGGGCGACTCCGAAAGGCACCAGACACTCTGGACCCTGTTTGCTCATCTGTAAAGGGGAAAGGTGAGAGTTCTTTTTCCCTGAAGGCCTTCCCAGCCCTACCATCTTGGGGTCTTTCTCTGAATCGTGGCTCTAAGACATGGACACTGGACCCAAGGGGAGGCCAGTCTTCCCCTAGCCCAAAATATGGGGTGGCTCCCGCCGGCCAAAGCATGGGCACTGACCTCAGCCTGACCGAGGAGGCCCAGCTGTGAGCCCAGCTGTGAGCCCAGCAACTCCACTCACCACCTGAATGCCAGCCTGCCCTCCTGGTGAGGCTGCTGCAAGCCCCAGGTGACTGGCCCTGGGGCTTGCAGGCCCTGGGGTGAGCAGGCCCGCCATAAAAACCCCAGCTGCTTTTCTTCCCATGGGCCTGAGCACTGTGCACTCTCTGTCTCCCACCACTCAGAAAGTAGACATTATTATCCTCGTTTTCAAGAGCAGGCAGGGCATCAGAGGTTTAGAGAGCAGGTCTCAGGGCCTTAAGCGGCGAGCTGGGACCCAAACTCAGGCCGTCTGAGCCCCACCTTTCAGCCACCCCACCAGGTGCAGTAAGGCCTTTCACCCCTGACGTTTTTCTACCTGGGAGTGAGGGCGGCTTTGGACTAAAAATTAACAAGATTACATGTTTTCCCCACAAGGGGAAACTAGTCAAATCAGAAAATGACAATAATACAGGAGCTCCTAAAGATTCTGAATGAATTAGTTTTAGAAATTTAACTGCGGTGGGGGAATTTCCTTTTTTGTAAATTTCCCAATTTCTTTTGGGAATTTCTTCTTGAACCAGGTCACACTGCCTGTTGGTACCTGCTCATAACTACGATATACATTCCTTAAACTGAACTCAAAAAAAGGCAGAAGGAGAGTGATTTTTTTTTATTACAGGTTCCCTTTCCAGAAAGATTCACCACCGAGCTCTTTAGAAACTCCCTGTCGTTGTAAAGTATATGGTTGTGTAACCACTATGCTGAAACCAATACAAACTCATACCAAATGGAAAGGTAATCGAAAAAATAAAAATAATGGGTGAGGAACCAAAAATCTTAAAGAAACTTTCCCAACCTCTGGGAAGAGCAGATCATCACATGTCACAGAGCAAAAATAGTGTCACTAAAGTCGTATCTCATTTAAAATCCCAGAAGTATTAAGGAAGCTCAGTGCTTTCATTAGCATTGGTTGTTCTATGAATAGTAAGACTATATAGCTTCCTAATGTTAATTCATTATTTAGAAATGTCTATAGAGTCTGTTTTATACTAAAAACTTTCCCTTAGTTGATTTCATAATCACCATAATTACTATAATAAACACAAAATAATTAAATACAAAAAAATTCCCCCACTGCAGTTAAATTTCTAAAACTAATTCATTCAGAATGTTTAGGAGCTTAGATATTATTGTCATTTTCTGCTTTTCCCTATGGACCCATCCCAGGAATCACTTTATAGAAGAGACAGGAGCCTCAAGAATAAAGATGTCTGCTGAATTATTACTTTTTCTTTATATTATTTCTATCTGTGCCCACTGTGGTCTCCCCCAAACCATCTGCAAGAAAAGGGTAGTAGCAGAGTCCTTGTTGAAATTCTCAAAACCAAGGTTGGGGATCGACCCAAAGCAAAGCAAAGTCAGTGCCCCCAAACCGGGAAAGGAGAGAGGGCGGCTCGGCAAGAAGTGTGCCGCCGGACGCCCCGGGCTGGCCTTCGCCCGTGCTCGGACCTTGCGCACGTGGTGGAGGACGGCTGTGGACGCGCCTCATCTGTGCCTCCCCGCAGTCCCCACTTTGGCCCTGGAAGTGGTGATTCAAGTCCGCCAACAGACCCATCACGGAAGCAGATTTTGGGCAGAAACAACCAAGGCCATGAGGGTCCTTCAGCAATGCCACCTTGGGTGGTGGACCACCTAACTCACTTCCTGCCTTTACCAAAATGATACCCAGTTAAAACGGGTTGCATTTTATGTTAGCGATATCCACACGCGGGCAAACTCTAGTGAAATGGGGACAGGCCACTGAGCTGGGGGGCCCTGGAGCAGGCAGCGTGAGCGTGGGTCTGCGTGGAGCAAGGGTCAGTCATCAGCAGCGAGTGTCTCCCTCAGAATCGATGCCGCGATGACGCAAGAGGCAGGGTCAGAGTCTGCACGAGAAACCTGCTGGTGCCCTAACATGCCCCCCTTCGAAGGCAAACAGGGCGCAGAGCACAGCGCAGCCCATTCCTGGACGGGATGCCCAGTCGGCCCAAAGTCAGCCCTACCTCTGATGTTCAGGGCTTCTGACTTCTTCTCCTTTCTCATCGTCTCTTCTGGCTCATTCTGGGCGTTCAGGGGATCACCTGCATTCAAAGAAGAAACGCTGTGTTGTGTATGAGTTCTACAAACAAAAAGAACCAATGGTCTCAAAAAAAAAGGTTCGTTATTTCAAATGTCTCCTAGCTTATCAGACCCCCACCCACATACACGGTCACACACAGAGCCAGGGACTGTCCCTTGATCTTAGCCTTGGAGCCCATCTTTGGACTTCATTCACAAATCTCATACAATTCTAACCCAAAGAGGCAAAGCCCTAACTCCCAAGGGAAAAAAGGATGGACAAAGGGGGAGGAAGAAAAAAAGCACAGATAGCCGCTGGAGAAGGGGGGAGGAGTGGGGGGGGGCACTACCTGTTGCCCAATGATAACTGATTTCCAAGGAAATCAATACTTCTGTGCAGAAAGATTAGGGGGAAGGGAATACAGCCAAAGCGCACCCCAGGATCCAGGAGAGAGAAAAAATCGTGGGGAATAAAAGAAATCGTGGGAAATATGTTGAGTTAACAGAGAAAGATTAAAAGGGAACTGCAGAGGAAATGGATTTTTGTTTTTAAGCTGAAAGGGAAAAAAAGGGCGTGGAAAGACGGGGAGGGGACCGCGAGAGGAGAGAGGAGGAAAGGACAAGGCAGTCCAGAGGATGCTCCCGAAAGGCACCTGCTACGTTGGCGAACACGATCGCCCCCTTCCCCGTGCTCTTTCCCAGAGAGGCCACGCGAAGGGTCACGCCTGAGTCTGGCCGGGCGCCGCCCTGCGGTCCCGGGAAAGCGCCGTCAGCGCCGTCCTTCGCCACCTGATGCGGGCGGCGGCGGCGGCAGCGAAAGCAGGCGAGCCAGGCGGCGCAGTCCTGGAAGACGAGCAGGCCCACCACGTTGACCGCCAGCCCCAGGGCGCCGACGATGAGCACCAGCTCGGGGTCGTCGATGCGCTCGGGCTGCACCAGGCGCAGCACGGCCTCCACGAAGATGGTGAAGCAGAGCGCGGTGAGGAAGACGGCGTTGCAGAGCGCGCCCACCACCTCGGCGCGCCCATAGCCATAGGTGGCCTGGGAGCCCCCTGGGGCGCGGCGCGCGATGTAGCCGGTGCTCAGCCCCACGCACAGTGAGATCAGGTCGGACAGCATGTTGAACGAGTCAGAGAGCAGCGCGATCGAGTTGCCCAGGTAGCCTGACACCAGCTCGGCCACAAAGAAGGCGACTGTGAGCACGAGCATGAAGATCAAGCGACACGTCTTGCCCGAGTAGCGGCCCATGTTCCCGCGGTGCGCGCGCCAGCCCAGCCGCCAAGACAGGTGGCGCCCCCTGACTCAGTGGAGCCCAGTACCCTCCTGGTCCCGGCCTCCCCACCGCCCTGCGCTGGGCTCTTTATAAGGCGGAGGCAGAGAGCCCAGTCCCCGCACGGCCAGAGTCTAAAGGACTGGGCCGGGCGGCCGTATCTACACGGACCTTACGCCGCCTCCGCTGGTGGCCTCCTCCCCTCCCTCGCCTCCCAAGCCTCTCTTGGCAGGCAGCCAAGAGCCAATGTCTATCCTTCTAGGACAAAACTGGGCACAGCATGGAGTTGCTGAGAAGAGGGAGTGTGTCTGGATGTCACTTCACACAGACCTCCAACCCCCAAGCCGAAATAGAATCCACCCAAAGCCTCCCTCCCTTCTCCAGTCCCCTCCATCACCAAAACCCTGCGGCCTCTTAGAGATAAGGACCTTGGCCGCTGCGGGTGTGATCGCCATAGCGGACGTGCACACCTCCGCCTACGTGCCCAGACGCTGCTTGCATTATTTATTACCTGGTAAGGCTTGGGCGTCCTCACCTGGCCAACCCTGCCCTTGGGGCACGTAGGTTCTGCTTTGCACCTCCTGAGGTTCAAGCTGATCCCTCACTCAGTGCTCCCACTCCACGACCACCCGTGGAATAACTCTATCCTCTCTGCTTGCTCACAGCCGTCCTAAAGCACACATTGACGTTTCTGTCACTCCCTCTTCGCAGTATCACCCCCATTCCCCTCTCCCTTTAAGGGTCTTCATTCACAAAGCCTCCTCTCCCCCGTGAGCTACAGACAGCCCAGGGGAAGGCACCGATCACACTACTGTGAGTGTGGTTACTGCCACCCAGCTCCCAGAAATGCAGTTGTCTGTGGGACACACCGGTCCCCTGGCCACCAGAGAAGCCGGGGCAGGCCTGTTCTGTGTGCTTGTATCATTCTCCACTGGAGAGAATATTCTGCCAGCCCCTATGAACCTCACAGCATGACCGGACACTTGGGTCAATCGACTGACCCCCCGTGAAGGTTTATTCCAAATAGAGTCTTTGGTGTTGACAGAGGACCGGTTCCAAGTTAAAGTTATCCAAAGCAGAATGGGACCCAGGACTGAGAGGGAGGCCCAGGAAGGGGGTCTTTGGAGAAGGGCGTTTGCTCTTGGTCAGTTTAGGGAGTCGGGTGGGGGAGCTGCTGCAAGTTTCTTTGTTGGTTTGATTTTGTATAAACTTGTCTCATTCCAAAAAGGATCTGAAGGTGAAATCTGGTGATTTCTATTCTCCCTCCCCCATCCCCAACCCCTGGACGTTCACCATTCCTGCAAAAACACATTGCTTTTTGGCTTGGAAATGACCACATATGTTGCACTTGAAGAAAGCACAGACTCCATTAGCAGAACTTTCTAATTCCAGGCCCATTCATTGCCTTAGCCTTGCAAAGTATAAGCTTGTCTTTCAACGCTCTCTGTGCAAAACCAGTCTTGATCTCAGGGGCACCACTGTCCCCCAGATAAGCCTCCACACTCTGCAAGCCTGTGAAACATCCCCTCCTCCCCACCTCCAGGAAAACAGCTGTGCACGGAGGACTTGAGGACACTGATCACTTGGAGCATTCTCCAAAAATATGTATTTGAATGATCCATAATTTAAAAGAAGTAAGGAGATGAAAGTTTTGAAGATGTGTAGGCTGACACAAGATACTCTTCAGTGTGTGAGCCAGTATTAAAAGAGAGTAAATGACAGCAAGGATTAAAATGGATTAATAGGCACGTCGGAGGCACTCACTAAATGTCAGCTGCTTATTTAAGCAGAAAGAGCTGACCTGAAAGGAAGAGAATAAAAGTGCAGGGTGAGGAGGAAGAGAATGGGAGGGAGAAGGTCCAGAGGTCCCTGTGTTATCATTGGCGTGTTAGTATTATTACAGAATATGTGTAACAGAATTGCCATTGAATCACAGGTGACAGTCTCTAATTAGTACGTGAACAGGTGAGCCAGGCACTGCCCCTTCCCCAGTTCTGGCAGACACGGTCTCCAGACTGAGAAATCTCTGAGACACGCAACAGGACAGCTGGCAAAGCAGTCGAGCGACAGAGGAAGGCCTTTGGGCACAGACTTGCCTGCGGGGCTAAGGTATTCCTGCTGATGGCACTTCCTTGTCCTTCAGAATGGGAAGAAAAGCCTGAGGTCAGCAGAACTGTCTCTTGGCAGAGAACGAGACTCATGTCATTGCCCCAGGAGGGCAGGGAAGAGGAGCCCAGGAGGAAGCTGGAAGTGGCCCAGGGCTTGCTACTGATTTGAAGAATGGCCAAGGGTGCCAGCAAGATGCACTTAGGGAGAAGGTGTGGAGGTCTGTCCACGCTGTCCCGAAAGGTAAGATTTCCTCCGTTTTTATGGCCAAGTAGTATTCCATTGTCTAAATGAACCGCAGCTTTTTCATCCCCTCATCTACTGATGGGCACCTGGGCTGCTTCCAAATCTTGGTGATTGTAAATAATGCTGCAATGAACACAGGGTTGCTTATGTTCTTTGCAATTAGTGTTTCAGGTTTCTTCAGATATATTCCCAGGAGTAGAATAGCTAGGTCATCATGCTAAATGAAATTGGCCAGTCAGATAAATACCATATGATTTTACTTATAGGTGGCGTCTAATGAACCAAATAAAACTAACAAAACAGAAAGACTCATAGATGTGGAGAACAGGCTGACAGGTGTCAGAGGGGAGGGGGTCAGGGGGCTGGGTAAAAAAGGTGAGGAGATTAAGTAAAGAAAAAAATACCTCCCAGACACAGACAACAGTGATTACCAGTGGGAAAAAGGGGTGGGGGCAGGTAGGAGAGGATACAGGGGGGATAAGTGGTGATGGGAGGAGACATGACTCGGGGTGGTGAACACACAATACAACATACAGATGACGGATGAGTATTATAGAATTGTACACCTGAAACTTATACAATTTTATTAACAAATGTCACCCCAGTAGATTAAATAAAAATCTATTTAAAAAAGATGTTTTGACTAACTCTGATTTTATATGTAAAATATAAAATGATATGTACATATTTGACTTCCGGCCAAGATGGAGGCGTAGGTGGAAACACTGTGCCTCCTCACACAACCAAGTTTAAAGACAACAAAGTTTTAGTAACAAAAATGCAACCAAAACACAGAAAATTGAATTGTACAATGAACCATTCAGCCAGATCAGTAAGAGGGGTGGAGCCATTGGCTGGCAGAGCAGGGTCGGGCAGGAAAACTTGGCCAGACCATCCCAGGCATGCAGGCGGCAGTTGGCGGATCCCAGGTGTAGGGTTGCAATGAGCAGACCCATTTGCAAGCAGATAAACCAGGCGAAGGAGTGAGCAGTGAGACAGACTGTGCAGGCCCCAGCGGTGGGAAGCAGCAGAAGGGACCGCTATTGCCCCTTTCTGACCCCGCCTCCATATACAGCATCACAACCTAGTGACTGAGTCCCCGGGCCTTGGTAAACACCTAGGGCTCCGCCCATCATGCATAACAGGCGCGAACAGACCAAAACATTAGGGCTCAAGAACTCAAAGCCCCAGAGCCAATAAATCTAAACAACCAAGAAATAGCCAACCTATCAGATGCATAGTTCAAAACACTGCCCCCACCCCTTTTTCCCACTGGTAATCGCTGTTGTCTGTGTCTGGGAGGTATTTTTTTCTTTACTTAATCCCCTCACCTTTTTTACCCAGCCCCCTGACCCCCTCCCCTCTGACACCTGTCAGCCTGTTCTCCACATCTATGAGTCTTTCTGTTTTGTTAGTTTTATTTGGTTCATTAGATGCCACCTATAAGTAAAATCATATGGTATTTATCTGACTGGCCTATTTCATTTAGCATTATGACCTAGCTATTCTACTTCTGGGAATATATCTGAATCAGGATGCTCACAGAACTGGTTGATTTTAGTCACAAATTAGAGGAACAAATGAAGGCTAAACTAATTGAAATGAAGGGAAATGCACAGGAAACCAATAGTGATGGGAAGGAAACTGGGACTCAAATCAAGGGAGTGGACCAGAAGGAAGAAAAAAATGACCAAACAGAAAAGGATGAAGAAACAAGACTTCAAAAAAATGAGGAGAGACTTAGAAACCTTCAGGACATCTTTAAACGTTCCAACATCCAAATTATAGGGGTACCAGAAAGGGAAGAGGAACAGCCACAAGTGGAAAACTTATTTGAACAAATAATAAAGGAGAACTTCCCCAAACTGGCAAAGGCAATAGACTTCCGGGAAATCCAGGAAGCTCAGACAGTCCCAAAGAAGCTGGACCCAAGAAGGAACACACCAAGGCACATCATAATTACATTAGCCAAGATTAAAATGAAGGAGAGAATCCTAGAAGCATCAAGAGAGAAGGGGACAGTCACCTACAAAGGAGCTCCCATCAGACTGTCAGCTGAATTCTCAAAAGAGACCTTACAGGCAAGAAGGGGCTGGAAAGAAGTATTCCAAGTCATGAAATCCAAAGACCCACATCCAAGATTGCTCTATTCAGCAAAGTTTTCATTTAGAATGAAAGGGCAGATAAAGTGCTTCTCAGATAAGATCAAATTCAAGGAGTTCATCATCACCAAGCCCTTATTATATGAAATGTTAAAGGGACTTATTTAAGAAAAAGAAGATAAAAAAGATGAACAGTGAAAGGACAGCAAACTCACAGTTATTAACAACCACACCTAAAACAAAAGAAAACATATTATATATGTGTTATATAATATGTAACACAAAGGTTCTTTTTGTACCCAAAAGGAAGCATGTTGTCCCTCAAACTCTCTTAAATTCATTAACTTTAGGAGCTTCTTACCTTCCATGATAGAGGCATGGTAAGTGAAAAGGAAAGGTGAGGTCACAGTCAAGACCACTTTGAAACAAACAACCCACTTACAAAATGGGCAGAGCACCTGAATAGATGCTGCTCCATGGAGGTCACACAGACGGCCCATAGACATATGAAAAGATGCTCAGTGTCACTAATCATCAGAGAGATGCAAATTCAAACCACAGTGAGATATCATCTCACACCAGTCAGAATGGTCATCATCAATACATCAACAAACAAGTGCTGGCAAGGATGTGAGAGGGGAACCCTTCTGCACTGCTGGTGGGAATGCAGACTGGTACAGCCACTGTGGGAAGCAGTATGGAGATATCTCAAAGAATTAAGAATGGATCTGCCTTTTAAGCCAGTGATCTCCCTTCTGAGAATATATCCGAAGAAACCCAAAACACTAATTGGAAAGAACATGAGCACCCCTGTGTTCATTGCCGCATTATTTACAATCACCAAGGTATGGAAGCAGCCCAAGTGTCTATCAGTAGATGAGTGGATAAAATAACTATGGGACATGCATACAATGAAATACTACTCAGCTGTGGGAAGGGAAGGGAAGGGAAGGGAAGGGGAGGGGAGGGGAGGGGAGGGGAGGGGAGGGGAGGGGAGGGGAGGGGAGGGGGAGGGGAGGGAAAATTTCACGCTTTGCAACAGCATGGATGGACCTGGAGAATGTTATGCTAAGTTGATAATAAGACATTATTAGAGACATCCTTCTCTGACCTATAGATAGGGCAGAACAAATTATAATCACTGAACAGCTGTTCTTCTTATAGTCCTGCAGTAAAGCTCAGAATCTCATATACACTTCATTGTCCACATTCTTTTTTTTTTTTTTTTTTTTTTTTTTAGAGAGGGGAAGGGACATCAAAAAACATCAATCAGTTGTCTCCTATGTGTGCTCTGGCCGGACCAAACCTGCAATCCAGGCATGTTCCCTGAGCTTCAAACTGGCAGCCTTTCACCTCCATCTGCAGGATGACGTCCAACCAAGTGAGCCACACCGGGCAGGCCCCGTTCTGCCTCTGAGCCTCTCTTGCAGGTGAGGACTCTGATTCTCTGACCTATGTGGAGTTCCCATACGTATTTAATTCAATTTGGTCATTTTCTCTTGCTAATCTCTCTCTACCAGGCAGGCTGAAAGAATCTTGAGGGTATAGGAAAGTTTCTCCCCAACCCCGAAGTTTGCAACTTAATTTCAGGAGCACTGAAACTTTTGCAGACATAAGATATTTCTGAGTTCCTGCAACTAGAAGGAAAGTGCTATAGTCTGAATGTTTGTGTCTCTCCAAAACTCCTGTGTTGAATTCCTAACCCCCACAGATGGTCATGTTAGGAGGTGGGACCTTCAAGGGTGATTAGGTCATGAGAGTGGAGTCCTCATGAATGGGATTTGTGCTCTTACAAAGGGGACCCTCACAGCTCCCCACACCCCTTCTGCCACATGAGGACACAGTGAGGAGGCTCTGGCATGAACCCAGAGAAGAACCCTCACCCAACCACATCGGCACCCTGATCTTGGACCTCTGGCCTCCAGAACTGTGAGAAAGGAACTTGGTTTATAAGCCACTCAGTCTGTAGTATTTTGTTACATCAGCGCAGATGGACTAAGATAGGAAGCGGAGCGTGAATTATGCTTCAACCTTTATGAAGTATCGGAGACCAAGTTGCCCGCTGCTGGGTACATGGCAGAATGAAATGACACTGATTTTTATATGGCACCAGAGCTGACGGGTTTGCACTGTTTGATAGTTCGACCATACTGACTGATGTCACATTATCTGGGGTCTGGTCTGCATGCTTCCCCTACTGTTCCCAAATGACACCCAGATGTTGAGTTTCAGGGAAACACTGTGTATGAGGTGTGGAGAGGGAGAATGTGAAAATAAGCAAATGAAAGGGGATGTAGCTATTAGGAGGAAGCAGGGAAAGGATTCGAGGCAGAATTGGGAATTTAAGAAACATTTATCGTCCAAAATTCCTCGCCACTTACTGATAGCATTTGGGGTGGGACTCCTCCTGCTCGGTGAACGAGAGAACAGAAAAGTCAGTTTTGGACCATTTCCGATAAAAATGGAAACAAAAAGGCACCAGAAGTTACAAGAAATAGGGGAACTTGCCCTTGATGTTACTTCTAAACCTAGTCAAAGTTTTAGCTTTAAGGGAAGTCCTGTGTCATTTCATAATTTACAAAAAGCTTTCACAAAAACAGCAGATCTCTTCACTGCTGGATTCGCCTTACTTTGTAGACTATATGAAAACGAGAAAAGCCATTTGCCAGAGACACTGTGGGAATAATTGTGTGTTGGTGGGGGATGTTAAAATACAACCTGTAAGTAAATACTTTTAACTTCATCTGCCGGAGGCACTGGTTAAATAAATATGGTGGGGTAAGTCATGGAGACACACAGGTATTGGAGCCACTCGGATATGGGATCCAGTCCTGACTCTGTCTGTTACTAGCTGTGGGCAAGTCACTGAACTTCTCTGAGGTCTACGCTCTCGTGGAGAATCCGGAGGTAGAGATCCCTTCCCAGGCCATGGCTGGGAGAGCCAAAGAAGACAGCATGCGGGGGCTTCACATGGTGTCTTCTTAGTGGGTCTGCAGGTCCTGGCTCCTCTCCTTACCTTCTGGCTCTTGTCGTCCGCAGAGCTATTGCTGACTTCCGGTCAGTAACCCTGTGGGATCCCCTTCAACAGTTATTTAGACTGACCTATTTTCTCTTTTATGATCTCTTTCCCCTTCGTTCAAATAATCTCATTGGCTCAGAATTCACTAGCCATTGATGAATAAAACACAGTCATAATGTAAAATTGTGATTAATAAAATACAATATTTCACAACTTGAAAACTCCTAATTTCTCAGCTATCACAAATATACTTCTTGATCCAGCAAGACTTTATGTTCTCTTATTACATGGTGGGAACTAGAGAGGACCAGGGTGACTGGGCCAGGGGACATCACTTCATTATCGTCATACAAGGAGGGGCTGTGTTGAATATTCACACGAGCTCCGAAGGGGAACGAAGATTCTTGGCTTCCGACAGTGAATGACTGGACCGGTCAGGCCCTCACTGAATTGCTGAGTCCTTGTTTCCTAATCGGTCAAATGCCAATGAGAACCTTACATGACTTTTCCCATGGAGACGTCTCGAACATCAAATAAGATGATGAAGACACACACACACAGACAGATAAAGGGCACTGTCAGCATGGTGATTTTGAAGCTATGTGTGGGTTCCTGTATGACTAACTCGGTCTTTTTTCCTGCTATGCCCTTCGATAGTAGAAAGGCCCATGGTTTCTTTAAGCAACCTGATGGATGCTTAGTTTTCATTTTAATCCACTTGTATTTTTCATCATTGTGGTCATTACTGTGATTGTTTATGTAAGCATTCCCCAATATATGTCCTTGTGCCTGTATCATTGCTCACTTTTTGGAGAATAAATTCCTAGAAATACCAAGTCAAAGAGTGTGGGTATGTAAAGCTGTTCGTAGTTTGCCCAATTGCCACCTAAGAATATTGTACAAATTTATATTCTATCAGAAATGCATGTGGTTGTTTTCTTCACTTTATTTTCCAGTTGTTTGCTGCCAGTGGATAAGAATGTAATCCAGCAAAGCTTTCATTTAGAATGGAAGGGCAGATAAAGCACTTCTCAGATAAGGTCAAGTTCAAGGAGTTCATCATCACCAAGCCCTTATTTTATAATGTTAAAGGGACTTATCTAAGAAAAAGAAGATAAAAAATATGAACAGTGAAAGGACAGCAAACTCACAGTTATTAACAACCACACCTAAAACAAAAGCAAACTAAGAAAACAGCTAGATCAGGAGCAGAACCATAGAAATGGAGATCACATGGAGGGTTAGCAACAGGGGAGTGGGAGGAAGAGAAGGGGGGAGAAGGTACAGAGAATAAGTAGCATAGATGGTGGGGAGAAAATAGGGGGAGGGCAAGAGTAGTGTGGGAAATGTAGAAGCTAAAGAACTTATCACACATGGACATGAACTAAAGAGAGGGAAGGTGGAGGGAGGGGCTGTGCAGGGTGGAGGGGAATGAAGGGAGGAAAAGGACAACTGTAATGGCATAATCAATAAAATATATTTTAAAAAAGAAACTAAATAAAGAAAAAGAAGAATGCAATCAATTCTTTATATTAACTTTCTATCCTCTGACTTTGCCAAATTCACTTATTAGTTTTTAGAGATGTTTCATAGATATCCTGGTAGTTTTAAGGTAACTAATCAAATCTGCTAGTAAAGACTATTTAATTTTTTTCTTTTATCTTAAAAAACGTATGAAAGTTCCGTTTTTACTAGGCTTCTAACATCACTAGCCCATGAGTCCTTGAACACTTTTTAGGGGGAAGATTTAACTTTATTCCATGATTTTTTTTCCCTGTTGGTTTTCTCATTAATATCTAAAACATTTACATTGTATTCTGCATCTGGAATTCTGAAAGTGTTTTGGCCATAGTTCTATCTTTACATTGGTATACTGCTAATAGTCTTTTTTTTTTTAAGATTTTATTTATTTATTTTTAGAGGGGAAGGGAAGGAGAGAGGGAGAGAAATATCAATGTATGGTTGCCTCTCATGCGTCCCCTGCCGGGAACTGGCCTGCAACCCAGGCATGTGCCCTGACTGCAAATCGAACTGCGATACTCTGCTTCACAGGCCCGTGCTCAATCCACTGAGCTACACCAGCCAGGGCTGCTAATAGTCTTTTGATACCATGGCTTTCAAATTCATAAAATCATCTTGATTCATATTTTGCTCACGTGAATTTCATTTACTGGGTTTTTTTTCAAGAAGGCTTCCTGGGTTTTATGTATACTTTTTTTACTATTTTCACATTGCCAGTAATACATGAACAAAACTTAGATGGGTCTAAAATTTTTTAGTTTCATGCCACGTCTTATCTCTCGGGATAAAGACACGGATGCATCGTGTCTCGGCACTGCCCACTGCTGTGGGGAAGTCTGAGCACAGCCTGGTGTTCATCCCATGGTGGGTGAGGGGTTTTGTCTGCCTGGATGCCCACAGCATCTTTCTCCATGCGTGATATGCTCAGAAAGTTTCCCAGGATGTATGTATTGATCATATCAATGTTCCCTTTCGATTTGCCATCTTTTATCTTTAGGTCAGGATCTATTCTTCTACTATATCTTTGCATATTTTTTTCTGGTACACCTGTCTGATCCGTGCCTCAGGGACCGCCTAGTCCAGAGCTGTTATCTTCCTTCCGATTGCTTTAAATTCCTCCGCCCATTTCTCCAGCCCGTCTTCCACATCATCGGTCATTTTTGACGGAGTTTATTCTGTGTCTCAGTGCTTCTAATGTGGGTTTTCATTTCTGTAATATTTCCTTATCATCTGTTTTTCCCCCTAAATTCTGACGGTTCGTGGTCATGGTTTTATCTGAAAATGTCTTCCGTTATCTGCGTAATTATGATTCTGCCATATTTTTCTGAATATATTTTTCACCTGCCTTTTTGCTGGTTCCTTCCTAAGTTTTGGATCTCCCCTATTGATTGAGCATCTCTGAGTGGGGCTCTTAGATCCAAGTCTGCTAATTGCGTGGGATTCCAGGCACAGGGTGACTTCAAACGGACCACGTCGTCTCAGAGCGTCTTTCCCAAATACACTTCTTCCCATCGTGGTCCCCCTGCCCAGCGACTACGTGGCTCGCAATGGAGCCTGCCGGCTCCCGTTGTGCACGTGCGGTAAGCAGACTGTCCATTCCCCGGGCTCCCCATTTCTACAGCGGCCCCTCGGCATGAGGAACACTCCTGGCTCTTTCTCTTGCTTCCCCGACTTTTGCCGGAGGCCAGATAACTGCTGCTCAGCTTAGAGAGCAGAGCATGCTCAGCGAAACTCTTCTGGGCATTTTTTTTTTTTTCCAGTTTTGCCTTCCCACACAGACCTGAAGTCCTGTCTGGGTGCACAGCAGGGCAACTAGGTGGGGCAGCTGTGCCCGGGGCCTGGGAGGTCTGACTCTGAGTTTAATCTGGGATGAACTATTAAAAAGCTCTTTGCTGTTATGCACCTAATCCATAGCCTTCAATGTCTGTAATAACATTGATATTTCATTCAGCCAGCATCTATATCTTACCTATCGGTTGCTTCGAAACTCAGGAGAACAAGAAAGGAGTGCAGAGTAGGGCGGGAGTAGGTTTACGGTTGTAAGTACTCGAATGATGGAGTTTATCCTTGTGTTATTATTTATTAATTATTGTATTTTTTTCAAGGCAAACAACTGTAAACCTACTTTGGCCCCACCCTACATTGTTTATGGGTCCTGAAAGCCCTACAAACTGGTGAGCTGGCAGGAACCTTGAGAAGGATAAAGGTGAATGGCAGGAAGCCAAAGTAACACATGGAGAGCGAGGCTCCTGGTAAGACCGTCCTAAGGCTCCAGGAAGTGCCAGCCAGCAGTGTTTTGACCCTGGTAGGTCGGAGCAAGCAACTGCTCCACACAGCCTGCAGAGGAGTGGGTGTTGCTGTAGATCTTCGTGAGCGTGAGCTTTTTAAGCCAGATTTCACTCTGTGTTTCAGTCTTTAATGGGCACAAAAAATGAGAAGTTTGCAGTCAGAAACAACAGACACACCCTAGCTGGTATAGCTCAGTGGATTGAGTGCCAGCCTGCAAACCAAAGGGTCACAGGTTCAATTCCCAGTCAGGGCACATGCCTGGGTTATGGACCAAGACCCCAGTGGGAGGAATGCGAGAGGCAACCACACACTGATGTTTCTCTCCATCTATTTCTCCCTTCCTTTCCCTCTCTCTAAAAACAAGTAAGTAAAGTCTTAAAAAAAGAAACAACAGACAGATTGAGCCAAGGAAGAGACATTTTTCCTGAGGCTGGACAGATGCAAGAGAGGGAGGGAGGAAGAGAGGAAGGAAGAAAATGCACACATACCTAAATCTTCTTTAAAGGGGAGATTAGATTAGACTAGACTAGGGGGCCGGGATACAGAGACAGCATCAGAGACAAAAAGGCGAGATGCCCGGTAGCTGGCTAAGATCCAGAATGCACCAGGGAGCTACTGAAAGTCACCCCTTAAATCTGTGACTAGTCTCTGAAATAAAAGCACCCAGGGACACGGCGGTTCCCGCCCTCTGTCCCACTGTCGTGGACTGGGTGTGGGGAGCAGGGCCTTCCCTCCTTTAGCTCACAGGCCTCTGACGGAGAAGCCTCTCTGGCCCCAACACTCAGGAAGAGGACAAGATCCTACAGGAGAAGCTGGTGCCCAGGGGACGAGACTTTGGGGGTCTTGGGGTGCAGGGCGTGGCTTTGGCCCGGAGAAGGGACATGAACTGGGGCTGGAGGGCAGACAGCAAAGACTGCTTGTTCCAGAGATGGGAGTCGGAGCAAGGAGGGGTCGCTCTCTGTCCATTAGCCATGGCCACAGCTGCGCCTCCTCTCCCACAGGGTCTTCCACAGGGCGGCCTCGATGGCCCTTCCATCCAGAAGGGGGGTCTGTGGGCCTGACGCTCCTTCCCCCTTGTCACTTGCTTGTAATCCAGACACTCGGAGGTTGGGCCAGAAGGGGCGCTGAAGTGCCTACCTTGTTGGAATGAACGAACACTCTCTTTGGAAACTCCGAGCCGTCACATGTGGTGTCCTGAGGCCACTCGAGTGTGAGGAAGCCAAGCCACATGGAGAGGTCATGTGGGGGTGGTCCAGTCGCCCCCTGGACAGGGAGACCTTGCAGTGCGGGAGCCAGACCTGAGTAAACGAGCCGTCCAAGGAGGTGGCCTCCTGCCACCAAGTCCCTGGTCCCCCAAGTCTTCCCAGGGCAGACCCCAGACACTGTGGAGCAAACGGGCTGCTCCCCCGTGCCCTCGCCCAAGGCTGGCCCACAGCATCCCAAATATCATAATACGATTGTTGTTTGACGCCACAAAGTTCATGAGGGTTTGTTAGGCAGTGACAGGAACCGGAAATTACCATGGAAGGCTGGTACAGCTATACAAAGCTCTCATAGAATTTGAAACTATTTGAGAGGATAAGCCTAGGAAGGTCACCATGGACGTTTAAGGTATTGATTACCAGGTGAGCTTTGAAGCAAAACCATTATTGTGGGCGCAGGGTTGCCCATGTCCTGCGGGAAGAAGACACAGAGTTCGGATCCCAGGACAAGCACAGGGAGGATGAGATGCCCTGAAGGGGGTCA